TAACCAAAAAAAAAAAAAAAAGACTCGAATTACCAATTCAAGACCGCAAGACCTGGAAAATTTCAAAACAATGATATGAAGACCAAATCCTTGGTTAACGGAGGGAAAGAAGACTGGTCACGAGGTTCTTGTTTACAAGCAGGATGTTGATCTGAAACCACGAGAGGATGCGCCATTCGTAAAACCCCAGTACCAACATGATGTTGGAAGTAAGTCTTGACAAAAGAGAATACCTGCTTTCAACGCAAACTTAACAATGTTCGGAACACTATCACAGCATACCAAATAGGCGTAAGCTTTCAAATGGAGTGAAAGAAAACCGGTAAGGTCATTCCATATGTCCTGTTTCGCAATTCTGACCTCTCCATTTCAAGTTAACGCATATTACCCTGAGATACATCCCGTTTCACAATTCTGAAAGGTCCGTCCACTCCACGAGCTGCCATTTGATAGAGGGTATTTTAGTCTACATAAAAGTTTACAGAAATATTCACCCTTTTAAGTTAGTAGGTAGATAGGTAGATAGATAGAGATAGAGAAGAGATAGAGATAGAGATAGAGATAGAGATTTACACTTGCTTTTCGACAGCAATCTAGTATATATTTTGTTAGTTCTTAGTTATTGAATCTGGACCATACAAATGGACATAAGGATGCTTCACATCTACTCATTTTCTGCACCAGCATTGCTTCCTACAGAAATCTACCTGAGATTTATATGTCTGTTATTGTTTATTTCTTCTTAATTATGGGCATATCTCGCCGAATTGGGTCTTAATTGCACTATTAATTTTATAACATAAAACAACATAAAACTTGAAATGTATTTTGTCTGTTATATTTAATAAAATAAAATACATCCTGAAATGTGTTTTTATATTCTCTCTATTCATTAGAAAAAATCAAAATTACAAAAAAAAAAAAAGAAGAAGCCTCAAATTACCAGTTCAAGACCGCAAGACCTGGAAAATTTCAAAACAATGATATCAAGACCAAAGCCTTGGTTAATGAAGGAAAGAGAGGGAAACAAGACAGGATATTTGAATTTCAATAGAAAGCACTTGACCAGATCCTATTCTGACTTCATAAGACAGGAAAGAGACCGCAGCATTTTTGTTTTTATTATTAGATTGATTATTATTATTATTATTATTATTATTATTTTCTTTTTGGCAACCTATTCTGATATCAAACACTTGACCAGGTCCTGACCTGATTTCATAACACTATCACAGGCATACCAAATAGGCATAGGCTTTCAACTGGAGTGAAAGAAAACCGGAAAAGTCCGTCCATACATCCTGTTTCGCAATTCTGACCTCTCCATTTCAACTTAACGCATATTACCCCGTGACACACCCTGTTTTGCAATTCTGAAAGGTCCGTCCACTCCACGAGCTGCCATTTTTTCCCATTCACGATTTTCACGTGCACTTGCTCCACATCGTGCCGCCAAAAGGTCCCGAGGCTCATGTTTGCAAGCAACATGTTGAACTGAAACTTTGAGAGCCTCTGGTCCCTTGCCACCTCCGGCAAGCAAAGGCGCCTATGACCCCATACGTGCCTCGGTCGACAAACACGAAACAAATCATTCGTAAAGTCCCAGTACCAAGATTCTGTGCGAAATGTACACTTTCTAAATTCCAAGTTCTCCACCACCACAGGCGGCTCGTCACTCAGAAGACAACTGCCATTAACGGCACCACGTTGCACGTTCTGACGACAGCCGCGGTACATCTGCAGAATCAGATCAATTCGAGACCCACTTAGTGGCTTGAGCATTCGTCTCAGCTTAAGGAACCATGAATTATCGGGATCATCATCACACAAATTGAGGATTACATTTGAATCCCACTCCTTAGAAGTTGGGGTCGTGAAAGAGAATGTGTCCAGCACCTGGGGGGCAATGATCATAAAATTGACAATGTTCGGGGTATTAAGAGTCATGCTAGTTGTCATGCACACGTGGAAGCTGACGTGGACAACAAGCCTGGAGAAACTAACGGTCATCCACAAGATGCTGCCACATCATTAGCCGAAACAAACATGGTACAAGCAAAAGGAAAAGGTGGCAGGACCTGTGGTGAACAAAAAGACAAGAATCCTAACCCTAAAAGCATGTTGCATGATCCAACGGACTACAAGAAAGAGTTGGCACGTGTAGAACATCCTATGGTGTTGAGTAGTGCATTGGTAGTATAAGTATAGAATTTCTGATTAATGTTGGAGTGTGGAAAACATCCTAATGCATGTAAAAAGCTGTGTAAACGAGCTCCTTTCATCAATGAAGAAAAATATCTTTTATCTTTATGTTATGATCTTTTTCTGTTTTCCTTTTATGGTATCAGAGCTAGCCATTCTTGGTTAGACTCTGATCCATCTTTTCATTTCCTCGGTTCTTGTTCTTCCCACTTTGCCATGGTTTCTACTTCAGTCCAAAATGAAACTACTATTCAGCTGCAAAGCCAGCTCATTTCTGTGAAACTTAATGATAACAACTTCCTTATTTGGGAACAACAAATTCTCACCACTCTTCGAGGATATGGATTGCTTGGTTACCTCACTGGAGAAGTCAAAGAACCAGACAAACTGTCAACAGATCCAGAGACAGGAGATCCCATGGTAAACAAATCCTATATCACATGGGTCAAACAAGACCAACTCATTGCATCTTGGTTATTATCCTCTCTGTCAGAAAATGTGTTGGTTACCACTGTTGGTTTAAACACCTCAAGTGAGATCTGGAAATCTCTCAGATCTGGTTTTTCAAGTCAAAGCTTAGCCAAGCAAATGCAGCTGAAGCTCGAGTTACAAACCATTAAGAAAGGATCCATGAAAATCAGAGAATACTTTAACAAAGTGAAGGGAATCTGTGATCTCTTGGCTGCAGCTGGACAAAGATTGGACGACAATGATCAGATCTTGCATCTTTTGGCTGGCCTTGGATCTGACTACAACCCAGTTGTGGTAACTTTAACCTCCAGATCTGAGAAGATCTCCATGATGGAAGCCTACTCCATCCTTTTGAGCTTTGAGAGCAGATTGGAGACTATAGAAGGAGGAAATGAATCTGATGGATCTTACCTTGCTGCTAATCTGGCTGCTAATGTCAATGCTAGTGCCAACATGAGCACCTATGCCCCAAGGGGAAGGGGCTCAAATGCCTTCAGAAAAAGATCAAATCAATCCAACAGAGGGAGAGGTTCAAGTAGAGGATACAGAGGTAGAGGAGGAAGGAACTTCTCAGGACAAAATAGAGCAAGGTGTCAAATTTGTGGCTACAACAATCACACTGCAGACAAGTGTTACTACAGATTTGATGCCAACTTCATCTCGAGATCTAACAACAACACCAACACATCTGAGGGAATCTTATCTGCCAATGTGGCAAGCTTTGGAAGTCAAGCCTCTGATGGATCTCAAGACCTCTTATGGTTCCCAGACTCAGGAGCAACACACCACCTGACCAATGATCTATCCAACCTGAGCATCTCTTCAGAATACCAAGGGAGTGAAAGAATTCAGACAGCCAATGGTACAGGTATGGCCATAGCACATATTGGTAAATCAATGATGACAAGCCCTTGTTCCAACAAATCTGACATCTTCCTTCTAAATAATCTTATCCATATTCCTGAAATCAGCAAAAACTTGTTGAGTGTTTCAAAATTTGCCAAAGATAACCATGTTCTTTTTGAATTTCACCCTCATTTATGCTATGTGAAGGACCTCAAGACAAGAACAACTCTTCTTCAAGGAACTATTAAGGATGGCCTTTACTGTTTTCACCTCACCAATGCACCAGTCAACTCTTCTCGGTCCAACAACCAACCTACTGAACCTGATTTCAATCCCTTTCAATCAAGTTGCTTTGCAGCAGTGAAGGAGACTCCTCTTCCCTTAGAAGTTTGGCACAATAGACTAGGACACCCCTCTTATGATATTGTAAAAGCTGCCTTGCAGCAATGTAATGTGCCATTTCTTGACAATGAAAGAACTTTGTTTTGCAATGTGTGTATGCAGTCCAAATTTCACAAGTTGCCTTTCTCTCACACTACTGAGCATGCACACACACCATTTGAGGTCATTCACTCTGATCTTTGGGGACCAGCACCAATTACTTCTCATAAAGGATTTAGATATTATGTGAGTTTCATTGATCAAGCCACTAGATTTGTTTGGTTTTATTTACTAAAGAACAAGTCAGACACTAAGAGTGCTTTTCTCCACCTCACTTCTCTCATCAAAACTCAGTTTCACAGTACCATTAAACACTTCCAATGTGATGGAGGAGGAGAGTTTCAGTCCCTTAAACCCATTCTTTCAGAACTTGGCATTAACTTAAGGATTTCTTGTCCTTATACTCCAGAGCAAAATGGCCTTGCAGAGAGAAAACATAGGCACATTGTCCAAGTAGGCTTGTCCTTGTTGTACCAGTCCAATGTCCCTCTCATTTATTGGGATGAAGCTTTTGCTAGTGGTGTTTTTCTTATCAATAGAACACCTCAGAAAACCATTGGTTTGCAGACTCCTCTTCATCTTCTCACAGGACAACACCCTACCTATGATTTCTTAAAAACTTTCGGCTGCTTGTGTTTTCCTCTCCTTAAGCCTTATAACACCAACAAACTACAACCCCGAAGCCTACCTTCTGTTTTCTTGGGATATAGTCCTCTCCATAAAGGTTACAAAGTGCTCCTGCCATCTAAGAAAATCATCATTTCCAGACATGTGTTATTTGATGACTCCATTTTTCCATTGAAATCAACAGACACATCCCCACCCTCTTCACCTACCACCCAAAGTGCTCCTTCCACTAACTCTCCATCCAATATACCTCTTCCTACCCTTGATAGTTTTTCTCCTGATTTCAATGATCTCAATAATTCACATCATATAAGCACTTCACCATCACTGCATACTCATACCAATCCTTCAACACATGATTCTCATTCACCATTAACATCTCATCATGGCTCTCCTCACACTCCATATTCTACTTCCAACTCTCACTCTCCCTCTACTTCACAGACCTCCACTATTCCTATAGGGCAAATTGTCATTGATCTACCTATTGTGCAGCCATCTGAACCTAATGTTATTTCTTCCTCAACTCCTAATGATGTTTCCCCTAGAACAGGTACTCATCATATGGTGACAAGATCCAAAGCAGGTGTTTTTAAGCCTAAAACTTATTCTACATGTTTGACTGCTTCTTTAGAGCCTTCCACAGTTCATGAGGCCTTATCATCACCACAATGGTACAAGGCCATGCAAGCAGAATATACAGCTCTATTACAGAACAAAACTTGGTCACTGGTTCCAGCTCCTTTACATAGCAAAGTCATTGGCTCTAAATGGGTCTTCAAGCTAAAAACCAACCCTGATGGATCTATTGCAAGGCACAAAGCTCGGTTGGTAGCCAAAGGATATACTCAAGATGCTGGTTTGGACTACACAGAAACCTTTAGTTCTGTAGTCAAACCCACCACCATCAGACTTGTTCTTTCCATGGCTGTTTCTCTTGGTTGGGACTTAAGACAATTGGATGTTGATAATGCATTCTTGAATGGTTCTTTATCTGAGGAGATCTTTATGGAACAACCTCCTGGCTTTGAAGTACAGTCACCAGATAACCTTGTTTGCAAGTTGAATAAATCACTTTATGGTTTAAAACAAGCTTCCAGGGCATGGTCTTCCACATTAACCAACATACTTCTGTCTTTGGGTTTTGCTGCTTCAAAAGCTGATCCTTCTTTATATCACAAGCATGGTTGCTCCTCTTCAGTCTTCATACTTGCCTATGTTGATGACATAATCATCACAGGTTCTAACTCTTCACACATTGATAGCATAATCAAGTCTCTCAAAACTCATTTTTCTCTCAAAGATCTTGGGCAACTGCATTTCTTCCTTGGCATTCAAGTGTCCTACACTGCTAATGGTCTTCTTCTTGATCAGACTAAATACATTGAGTCTATTCTTGATAGGGCTGGGATGAAGGGGGCAAAAGGATTAAAAACTCCTATGGTATCTCACCCAGCACTATCAAAATTTCTTGGCAACCCTATTTCTAATGGACATCTTTATAGGCAGATTGTGGGTGCCTTGCAGTACATCACTCTTACCAGACCTGATATCTCATTCAGTGTCAACAAAGTATGCCAATTTATGCAAGAGCCTCTTGACACACACTGGAAAGCTGTGAAAAGGATACTAAGATATCTAGCTGGGACTAAGGATTTAGGACTAAAGCTGCAAAGGTGTTCAAACTTCAACCTCACAGCCTTTTCAGATGCAGATTGGGGTTCTGATCCAGATGATAGGAGGTCCACTTCAGGGATTTGTGTTTTCTTTGGTGAGAATCTTGTTTCCTGGTCATCTAAGAAGCAGCACATTGTCTCAAGGTCCTCAACAGAGGCAGAATACAGAAGTGCAGCACAAGCTACATGTGAGGTAGTGTGGCTTCAGTCACTTTTGAGTGAACTCAAGGTTAAATTTACCATGCCAAGTGTAATATGGGTTGATAACCGAGGAGCCGTTTGCTTAGCCTCAAACCCAGTTTATCATGCAAGAACAAAACATTTTGAGCTAGATTTGCACTTTATCAGAGAGAAGGTTGAAGAAAAAATTGTTTCTGTTCAGCATATACCTTCCCATGAACAAATAGCAGATATCCTTACAAAAGCATTGACAGGACAATCCTATACCAATCTTAGGAACAAATTGAAACTTGTATCTAAGCCTTGGATAGGATTGAGGGGGCATATTAAGAGTCATGCTAGTTGTCATGCACACGTGGAAGCTGACGTGGACAACAAGCCTGGAGAAACTAACGGTCATCCACAAGATGCTGCCACATCATTAGCCGAAACAAACATGGTACAAGCAAAAGGAAAAGGTGGCAGGACCTGTGGTGAACAAAAAGACAAGAATCCTAACCCTAAAAGCATGTTGCATGATCCAACGGACTACAAGAAAGAGTTGGCACGTGTAGAACATCCTATGGTGTTGAGTAGTGCATTGGTAGTATAAGTATAGAATTTCTGATTAATGTTGGAGTGTGGAAAACATCCTAATGCATGTAAAAAGCTGTGTAAACGAGCTCCTTTCATCAATGAAGAAAAATATCTTTTATCTTTATGTTATGATCTTTTTCTGTTTTCCTTTTACGGGGCACAAATCATAACTTCTTTAAGCAATGTTTCTGTGGTCGAGATGGTCAACCGCTTGACCGAATCACTAGCAAGACGGAATTCCTCGAAACCGGAGCAATTATCTAGAGCCAAGCTCTCAAGAGTCGGACAGCCGCCGAACGATAACAGGTCGATGGACTCACTCATCAGGATCACATTACAGAGATGCAAACTCGTGAGACGAGAAAACAAGAACGCGCTTTCGTGTTGAGACCAAATCCATGGGCCCCTGATACGGACCTTCTCGAGATTCATGACATTGATTTCGATGCTTCGCTCGTAATTATCCAATTCAATGCTACGCGCACGGCTTTCCACCCTCTCGGAATCAAATAATACAAAGTGCTTGAGCCCAGGCACCTTGCTCAACCTAACGTTTCTCAACTCCCAACAATCATTAATGACCAGGCGAATGAGCAAAGGGCATCCCAACGTTTTTGTGTCAAAAGTCCCGCCATCAACTTGGACCCGTTCGAGGGTGAGCGTGCGCAGACTTTTGAACTGCATGCTTTCGACTGAGCTCAGCCTGCATTTGTTCAGGTGTAGTTCTTCGAGGGACTCAGAAAAGAAGACTGCCGATGGTAGGTTGTAATATGGCGGAGTATATGAAATTAGAAAGTCGAGTTTGAAAGCTTTTATGTTGAGGGCGGCTATTAGCGGGATCCATTTGTCGAGAAGGGAGACGACCGGTTGTGAGTTGGGCCACCAAAAGTGGAGATGTAGTTTGTGTATGGTGAGGTTTTGATCAAGGTACCCTTGTAGGGTTCTGTCGAGTACGGAGACAAACCTTTCTTGTGTGACGTCGGACCGTTTGTCGGAGAATCCGAGGTTGGGACGGGTTGATCCAATGTGGCGCCATTGTTTGGAGAGTACACAAGTTCTGCCAGCTTCTTTTTGGGAGAGGGAACAGAGTATGTGGTGAAGTATAGGTATTGGCAGTTGGGATATTCTGTCGTCCATGACTGTAGACACAGTATCCGCTGTTTCTGCCGTCTGCTTCTTCTTTTTCATAGGCATAATGTGACGTGAGAACAATTTTGTGGTCTGCTGAATGAATGATCCCTAGTGCAGGTTATTATTAATAATTAAAAAAAAGGTAATTCTTTATAATAATAATAATATTAATAATAAAATAGACTCCATCCGTTTTAGGTGTGTTTTGCATAATACAGATTTTTAGTTTTCTATTCCTTTTTATTTTATAGGGATTATTAAGAAAATTATATTTAAAATTAAATAATACTAACAACAAAAATTATTTTGCTTTTTAAATACTTTTTAAAAAATTATATTATTATTTATATTTAACTAGTATTCGACTTGTGCATTTGCACAGATATAAATAAAGAATTGTGAGTTATTTGTATGCATATAATGATTAAAGATTTTTCTTGCATTTTTTTGTAGGCCGAATTTACAATTAAAGGAGCTGAAATATTTATTTTTTTAAATTGCGTTTATCAGATTGGATGTAATGTATATTTTGGTATGTATTTTTTTTTTTTGTGAATTTTTATTATTTATTTAGAAATTTCAAATACGTTTTTTATTTTCCAAAAAAGTAATTTAAATGTAACAACAACAATAACATCTAATCACGTTAAATAGTCAACACATTATATGGTCAGATGTAAGTAATCAAAAGTTTAAAATGATTTTTTGTAATTTTAAAGTGATTAGTGTGTTGATTATTTAATAATTAAATGAAAGGTTAAATAAATAAAAAGTACCGGTTTTTGGAGGAAAAAAATTATATTGCCACATAGGTATAATTTAATAGGTTGTATTAAATGCTTATGAACCAGCAATTATATATACTAGTATTTACCCCGTGCATTTGCACGGAAAGTGAATTATCAGAATAAGTAAGAAATATAAAAATATAAACAAAAGAAAAAAATTATATTTTAATGATCGAAATATTTAAAATTGAAAAACAATTCTAAATATTATTTAAAACTTTTGTATATATAAAATTTATGGTTTTTCTATCATCAGAAACTCCTTCGCAACAAATCATTATCTTCAAACCATTCCGATTTGTGACTCTTGAAAGAGCAACGTGCCATTATTGAAGACGAGACTCTTGAGTACAAGCCGACGTACGAGAGAGACTCTTATTAATTGTCATAGCATAGGAAATCATAACATGAAACTAACGATGTTGAAACTTGAACGGTACCCTCAAAGCGGAAGGTATGATGATGAACCTCGAAATGAGAACCTTATCACCAACTTTAGCACCGGTTAGAAATTTGCATTCGAGGACACGGCTGCTGAACGTAGTAATAACCAAATGTGTACCGTTGAACAACCTCATGGAGTGATGATGTGTTTCCCCAGCCTAAAAATTTATCCCAACATATATAATACAAATTAGACCAAGAGTAATGCTATAGGTACTTTACATAGATGTATACATAACACTCACATTGAGTGAGTCCTGCCAAAAATATAAAATTAAGTGGACCCACTACATGTGAGTGTTATGTACATCTCTATGTACATTTATTATGTACTTGTAGCATTTTTCTTAGACGAAAATTGGTTCATTTATTTATTTATTTTTTTTTTTCTTTTTGTGTTTAATTAACAAGGATCCGAATTATTAAAGGGCCCAAAATTTAAATGGCCGAGTACCATTGAACGGGTAAAAGCGGTTTCAAAATTAGCCCAATACGAAAAATATTAGCCCAAAAAAATCGACCCACTACATTAAATGGTAAAAAACGAGTAGAAAATGGTATAATAGTTAAAAAAAAAATGGTATATATATATATATACATTAGAAGACTTGTTGAGGAATTATACTTTGGAAACATTGCCGCTGCAAAGGAGTATTGGACAGAGAGACCTATTGGAGCTGATCGGAAAGAAGCAGCAGCCGTGAAATAGAGAAGAATTTTATTTTTTCTTTCTTTTTCTTTCTCGTGTAATTAAATTCATGATTATGTTATTGAACACTATGAGTGAGTAGTTCTTTTATTCTAGTTCCGGGAAAGTCGAACCCTATGATTGACGATGTTTGATTAATTTATATGGTTGATGAATTCAATATCTTTTTGGAATTGCTTGTATTATTTTGAATAATTAATCATGATTTGTTTACTCTAGTTTAGATTGATCACCTAGATTAGGCTTTTCAATCTGTAGTTGTTGTTGTGTTTAATTCATAAGAGGTAACTGGAAGACGGTAACTACCGGGGATAACACGGCCTAATTAAGTGAACGGACGCGGTTGAGTTTACTAATTAGTCTAGCCTATTTTTCTAGTTCGTAAAGCGGCTGATTGTATTAAATCTTGAAAACGTTTTTCAGGACTGTACAAGAAGTCAGGTTTAATCGTCGAGCTTCTCGCGGTTAAATTAAAAATAAGGAAAAACTCGGGTAACAGACCGTGTCGTTACCTAGAGCTAGTAATTCAATGAGATAGCGAAATCTGATACTAAAATTGATTAGACGAGTCAGTCGAGGGTGTATACGGAACCGTGGACTAGAAGCTTCCCCATTTATTTGATTACCATCTTTATTTGTTGCATTTGTGTTCATTCCATAATTCATAATTCTAGTCGTTAGTTAATTCATACTAAACCCCCCTCTTAGTATTATTTTCGTGATTTCAATTAAAAAAAATAATTGCAATTAAATTTCACACTCCCTGTGAGTTTGACCCTTGCTCACTACTACTGCTAGTTGATAGAAGTCGGTAAGAAAAATTATTATTATAATTTGACCGCGTTGCGATGCGCGGTCAAAAACCCTAAACTTAGACGCCTCATTTCACGCCGCTTTGGCCTTCTTCTCTGCCCAGATATTTCTCTTTCTCATATCTGAAAATTTACTCCGCTCACTTTTGCCAATTTTTCATCGGCTTTTACCTTACTTCTTAAATACATCCGACGGTGTGAATTCGAAAGATCTTTACAATTTCAGTCATTTTATCTTAGAGCCTTTGAAAATTCAAAAATGCCTACCAATCTTACATTTTTTTCAACCCGATTAAGCTTATCGAGTTCTTAAGTATAGAACATCGGTGAAATCGGTCGATATATTTCAAAATATGTTGCTTTCTTTGTTTTTTCTTAGATTATTTTTAAATTTACGAATAAAGGTTTTGAATCTGTTTGTTTTATATTAAAATTTTCAATTTTTAGCCGTATTTTCATTCACTAATCTCTGCTAAATTTTGCAGGAATAATTGGATGGAGTATTGCAGGAATTATATATTATACAGATTATTATAGTATTTATTGGATTTTGTACATGAATTGTAATTTCAATGTTATTTGTTTGTTGTGATTGTTTTAAATTTTAGTGTGTGTGTTTGTATATATATATATAAAGGTGTGTTTTTACTTAAATGACATTGTAGTCAACTCGAATTTCTGAATAAAAATTTTAAATGAAATTTATTTCGAACTGAATATAATGTAATTCATTATTAGTTACTTGCACTGTACGGGTCGTGTACCAAATTTAAATAGACATATTTAATGTAATTTTGCACAATTTATATTTCATATAACGTTTTCAACAAATTAATATAGGTAAGTTGTGTTACTTATTGATTCTATATTTTTAATTTATAAATATTATTTAATGAGCATTTAATTTATAAATATTAAAGAATATGTTTTACTTGTGCATCGCATGTGATTCGTATTATTAACAATGTAAAGAGACAAACATTAATTCTATATAGGTAAGTTGTGTTACTTATTGATTCTATATTTTTAATTTATAAATATTATTTAATGAGCATTTAATTTATAAATATTAAAGAATATGTTTTACTTGTGCATCGCATGTGATTCGTATTATTAACAATGTAAAGAGACAAACATTAAAAAAATAATAAATCAACTTATGAAGATAAATTATTAAAAGTAATTAATTCAAAAGGACATTTTATGCTAAATGTATACTATGGGTACTGAATGTGGCATAGTGTGAATGTCATATGCCCCAATCCCCGTTGAAAGCTCTGCCGTCTGATGATTCACCGTCTCCAATTGGCGTTCGAAGTCCTCGACTTGGCGTCCCAAATAGTCGATGGCGGCGTCACGCATGTCGTCTGCGTCGTTTTTTCACGGCGGTGTCGTGGATCGTTGCTGGTCTCTTGATACAAACTCATATAGTGGAGCATACAATTGGGAAAAAGCCGATCGATTATGGCCAAAAGGAAGAGAATAAATAGAGTCCTAATCTCTTTAATTACCTAGACAAGTAAATGTTCCATAAAAATAAATATTCTCCTAGCAGCTAAACAAGATAAATAATAATAATAATAATAATAATAATAATAATAATAATAACATATCAATAAATAATTAAACTAGAGTAGGCATCCGATTGTATTTGTTCAGGAAGGCAAGAGCGATCTCGTCTCCAACTTACACACTATTAGTTGGGAGTCTTGTGACGTGACGTGGCTGTTTGGTTTTGGGTGAAAAAGTAATTGTTTGTTTCGTTGTGTCCGTTGGATTTGATTTTGTGGGAAAAAAAATAGTTGGTTTATTTGGCTGTCCCTTCATGAACTAAGGTTTTACTAAGTTGTTTTGAACTAGTTAGACCAACTTCGTTATGATATTTATATCTTTGATGTGTTTGAATTAGATTTGGTTTCTGTTTTTTCATACACAATGTCTTAGGGCTGGCTCGTTTAGTTTAAGAAAACACAGGGTCGGGGCCATGTCTGTTTAAAT